AGAAGGACAGAGCCAGAGGCTGGGCAGCGAGCGGGGCCTGCTCACCGCTTGGAGATCTCCTGGTAGCGCAGCTGCAGCTTCGTCTGCAGGTCTCGCTGTGGGAGGAGGAGACAGGAGGTCAGCCTGAGGAGGTCAGCCTGGGGGACACCCCAGGAGAGGTGAAGGCGAGGGAACAGGAGTGGCCCAGGCATGAACAAATGAAGGAAAGGCAGGGGATGGGCAGTTTGGGACAGGGATGTGGACCCTGCAAGTGAAGAGGAAAGGTGGGATCCGGGGCCACAAGGTCCATGGATAAGAAGGTCGGGGGCGAGGAGGTCCGTGGCCTGAGCGGGTCCCCGGCCAAGAGAGCCAAGGGCTGGGGGTGAGGCAGGTGTCGGGGTTACGAGTTGGGCGGTCCAGGGTAAATCCTGGGCCGAGCGAGATCCAGGCTTCGGAGGGAGGTGAGGAGAGGGAAGGGGTGCGGGGCACACGGAGCCCACAGCCCCCCAGCGCGGCCCTGCCCGCCCCCGCGCACCCCGGCTGCCCAGTTCCGCAGCCGCTGGATGAATCGGGTAGCGGACGCCATCTTCCGTCCGCACTGAAGGGCGCCGCTGACGTCTCTACCGCGCGGACTGCTGGGAAAGGTGACGTAGTCTCGCGAGAGCGGGCGGGGCTAGAGATTCATATAAAAGTTCTCCCCGAGACACGTGACTCCTCTCCACTTGACCGCCGCCGCGCCGCCATCATGGATACCAGCCGTGTGCAGCCCATCAAGCTGGCCAGGGTGATGTGGGGGCCCGAATTTGGGGGCCAGGGAAAGGAGGGAGCGAGCAGAGGAGCCGGGTGAGTCAGGTCTGAGCGAAGCTTCTTTCCACCAGGTCACCAAGGTGCTGGGCAGGACCGGCTCGCAGGGACAGTGCACGCAGGTGAGCGCGTGGGGGCGCCCGGGCGACCCCCGGGGTCTGATCCCTGACCATGACCCCTTCCGTGCCCCAGCTCCTGCCAGCTGGAACCTGAGAACCGACGTTCCCTTTATCCCAGGGCTTCCGGATTGTCTGAGCTCTCACCAAGGCCCTGCTGACCGGCTCCGAGCTTCGTCCACCCCGTTCCCGTGGCTCGTGGGTTCCTCTCTTAGTATCTCTTGAAGAACCCAAGTCTGCTTTCCATTCCTCAGTGCTTATCGGGGGCCCCCTCTTGACTCTTTCCCGTCCTCTCGGTGGGCCCGTAGGTGCGCGTGGAATTTATGGACGACACGAGCCGCTCCATCATTCGCAACGTGAAAGGCCCGGTGCGCGAGGGCGACGTGCTCACCCTGTTGGAGTCAGAGCGAGAGGCTCGGAGGCTGCGCTGAACTTGGCTGCTGGTGGGTGCAGGGGGAAGGCCCCTGGTAGACTTGGCTGGTGGTAGGGAATAGCGAGTTTGCCAGTTTTGCTGGGGAGCCTGTCAGCATCTAATGCTTGGATCTGTTTACAGGGTCCTGGAAGTCGGGTCGACCACTTGGCTCATGGGGACGACCTGCCATTGTTAAATAAAGCGTTTGTATTGTATGTAAACTCCAGTTCTTGACTGGGTTGTCTGACTAGGTTTCACAGGGCTTATAAAACTTTTGAGGCTTCTTTTGGGCCTTGGCTGTGTGGCTCCCTCTGCATTCTGCAAACCTTGGGGGGCGGGGGGTGTCTTCCCCAACAAGGAGTTTCCGTGTTGAGGAGGGGGAATCATGCTCTATGTGCTTGCCCTCCCTCAGACAAAACACAAGCGTAGTAGCAATGTTTTATTAGGAAAGAAGTTCTGGGGAGTGGGTATTCCAGGGGCTACATCACTCCTCAGTCTCCACCTCACCCCTCCCCGACACTGAGCCATCCCAGCTGAAAGAGCCATTCTCTTGGGCCAGAGCTAGCGTCTGAACAGAGAACGCTGGTCCCTGCTGTGCCCCAGAGGCCTCTGTAGTGGAGAGAAAGATGTCTCATCCAGGTCCAGTGAGCCTGGCAGCTCACTGAGGCTGGAGGTCCCCTCCATTGTCACTGCATCCTCCTTCACCAGGCGTGGTTGTGGGGGAGCCGGGGGGTGACTGGCTCTAGAGAGGGGGGAAGGGAAGGAGTCCTACTGTAGTCTCCTGTAGGCAGGAGGCTAGGGAGTTTCAGTCACCCCACTCCAACCCCAGCCACATACACTCATCTCTTTTTGACTTGAAAGAGGCACATGAACACTGCCAATAGTGGGGTGAGCACAGGGTGGGTATGTTGATTGAATGAGCTTCGTTACGAAACTGGCACTTGCCCTCTGAGTGTAAGCCACTCCCCTGGGGGCAAACCCTGTGAGTTCTGCTCCCAGGCCTGCCCTCCTCTGCCGCAGTCACTTTCAGTGTCCTATCCTGAAGCTCTGAGTTATGGAAGTCTGCGTCCTCTTTCCCCGTGCTGCCTAATGCAAATTTCTTTTGATATGAATTTCTCTGGGGGCAGGTAACAGGAGTCCAGGGACACCCTGGAAAGGTCTAAGCTAGATCTTCTAAGCTCAGCCCTGTGACTTGAGCCAGGTTGCTTTTCGTCTTGAGGTCCCAGTCTCTTGGCTGCAGGTACTTGGCAGCCACAGGTTCCCCACCCCTGGTGCTACCCCTTGGGGAGCATGAAGGGAGGCCTGGGGCATATTTAGTATCCTCCCCAAACTGGATTTGCTGCTGGGAGGCTTTGTTTCTTGTGGCTGCACTTACCTGAGGACCAGGCTGGCCTGAGCTCAGGTGGGCATGCAGCAGAGCAGCCACCTCATCCTGCTCAGCTTCCAGGGCGATGGCCAGAGCACTGGTGCCCTCCTGAGGAATGTTGGGGATGGTCAGGTCCCCAAGCCAAGACACCAGCATCCCTCATGCCAGCCCCGTGGTGGTGGCACCTCACATTGTCCAGAATGGCGGGGTCGCAGCACGGCTGGGCCAGTAGCAACCGAACAGTGTCTAGGCGCCCATACTCGCTGGCACACATGAGCGCTGTGGCCCCATCTGCATCCTGCGCATTCACATTGGCCCCACACGCCAGCAGGGCTGCCACCATGTCCTGGCGGCCATGGCTGATGGCCAGCATGAGGGCTGTCTGCCCTGTCTGGGGGAGTGGGTTGGGGGGGGACAAGTCTGGGTGGGCTCTGGGGGAAGGGAGGTCAGAGCCTGGAGGTGACTCCCAAAGTGGAAGTGACCCCTTGGATTCAGCCAGAGTGGGGGTGTCCACGCACCTGGCTGGCCTTGGCATTGACATCACCCATGTGGAAGAGTCTCTGGATCACAGCCGAGTCCTCCTCCCGCCCCATGGAGGTGAGTGCAGCCAGCATGAGAGCGGAGTAGCCTGCTCGATTCTGGCGGTTGACCTCACAGACCCCTGGGAGAGAGGAAGGGGCTGTTTGGTCAGTTGAGGCCAACATCACCAGCTCAGTTTTCTCCACTCACTTCCCTTAAAGCCTTTCCCAGCAATAGCCGCCTGGCTCCTCCCTCTCACTAGGGTTTTGCTCAAATCACCTCCTCAGCCAAACCTTCCGTGACCTCCCTTATGTCAGACCGGTCCAGGACTTGGTTTGGTTCACTGCTGCATCCTTCAGGGCTTACGAAAAACCTGGTATTTAGTATAGTTGCTCAATAAACATCTGTCGACTGAATGAATGGATGTCTATTCTCACGCCTACCACCCACCTGGCCACCATCGTTGCTCCTCCAGAGAAGGGTGCCAGTCTCTACCCTGGTCTCTGAATCCACTCGTTTCCATGCAGCAGCCAGAAGCAGCAATTCAAACATTAGACCCAGTCACTTGCCTACTTAAAACCCTCCCGTGTCTTTCCCATTGCTCCTGGAATACAGGCCGTTATCCACCATGGCCTATGAGGCTCTGTGTTAACTAGCTTCTGTTCTTTCCTAGAATCTTCCCCACAGCCTGAGTTATAGGTTGGATTATGTCCACTAAAAAGATGTTAAACTCCTAAACCCCCTTACCATCCTGGTCCTCTTACATAGCACCTATCTCTATTTGGACCGCATTTACTGGAGTGGCTGTTTTAATGTCTGTCTCCCCTACCATTCTGGAAGCCCCCACAAGGACAGGGATGGTTTGGGTAGATGAGTGGGTAGGAAGAGCATACGGTGAAGAGGCTGGGAAAAGGAGCTGGATCAGCGTCATGGAATGGATACCACAGTGAGGGAGGGAATCTGAGATGATGGACAAGGGGGGAGGCGGTCCCTCGTGTGGTGTGCTGTGTGTGCATTCATTCCTTCCAGAAGCTTCTATGACACCAGTGGAAGATATCAAGTGCAGAGAGGAGCCCTCAAAGAAGCAGAGTGGGGTCTCTGCATGCTAGCCAGGGATCCACCTGTCTTCCCCCTTCCTCTCCTCTCCCCTCCCCTCCCAGCTACCCTGTGGCCTTGCTTAGCTAAAAGGTCATCCTGTTTCTTGATTTCCTCCCCTAATTGTATTTTGTCATGGCCCTTATCCCAGTTTGAAATCATTTCATGTTTTTACTTCTCCCAGCTACCCTGTGGCCTTGCTTAGCTAAAAGGTCATCCTGTTTCTTGATTTCTTCCCCTAATTGTATTTTGTCATGGCCCTTATCCCAGTTTGAAATCATTTCATGTTTTTACTTGATACACAACCACACTCACAGCCACGAAAATTCACATTCATGAAAGTTCTGTGGAAGCAAAGTCATTCATTCAACACACACTTGAGGATTTATGATGTGCCATTGGATTTGCCACGCAAACAGTAAGGAGAGGAGGGCATGGGTAGGAGTTCACGACAGGCGAAAGGCAGATGAGCAGGGGGCCAAGGAGACAAGGGGTGGTGGGGGCAGTGAGATGGGGTGAGAGCAATGGGTAACTGTCCTAAGGTCCCAGAATTGTTGGACTTGGGGAACAGAAGCCAGTGAGTTGAGAAATTGGGAGGGAAAAGTCAGGAGAAGAGGTGCTAGAAAATGAGATTATGCAGAGGGCACAGTTATTGGTGACATCGAGGTCTGGGGGTGACCTTAGTGTAAAGCTGATGTGGGACAGAGGCCAAGGACAAGGAAGGGGAGAAAGCCAAGGAACTGAGAAGCCAGGAGGTTGGAAGGATCGCCCAGAAGGATATTAAAATTGACAGTTTAGAGAAAAAATTGACAAGTTGGGCTGGCCAGTTACTCAGAGTGCGGTTTTACAACACCAAGGTCAAGGGTTCAGATCCCCTTACTGGCCAGTCACTAAAATTAAAAAAAGAAAGAATTGAGGCCGGCCCATGGCTCACTCGGGAGAGTGCGGTGCTGATAACACCAAGGCCACAGGTTCAG